CCCTTTCCATCAAAATGGTCTTCCCAATAGCTACCACCTCTTGCAGGGGAGATTTTAAAGTTAGGAGCTCTCTCTGATGAGACCCAGTATGATACTTTTCTTTCAGGCAAGATTGTCCTCACAGCTGGCATTTAAAACTAGGGCTGTCAAGTGATTAAAAAAAATTAATTGCGATTAGTTGCGCTGTTAAACAACACTAGAATACCATTTATTTTAAATAGTTTTGGATGTTTACTACATTTTCAAATATATTAATTTCAATTACAACACATAATACAAAGTGTACAGTGCTCACTTTATTTTTGCTTACAAATATTTGCACTATAAAAAATATTTTTCAGTTCATGTCATACAAGTACAGTAGTGCAATCTCTTTATAATAAAAATTGAACTTACAAATGTAGAATTATGTGCACAAAAAAACCTGCATTCAAAAATAAAACAATGTAAAACTTTAGAGCCTACAAGTCCTCTCAGTCCTACTTCTTGGTCAGCCAATCACTCAGACAAACAAGGTTGGTTACAATTTGCAGAAGATAATGCTGCCTGCTTTTTGTTTACAATGTCACTGGAAAGAGAACAGGCATTCGCATGGCACTGTTGTAGCTGGCGCTGCGAGATGTTTACGTGCCAAATGCGCTAAAGATTCATATGTCCCTTCATGCTTCAACCCCATTCCACAGGCCATGCTTCCATGCTGATGATGGGTTCTGCTTGATAATGATCCAAAGCAGCGCGGACTGAAGCATGTTCATTTTCATCATCTGAGTCAGATGCCACCAGCAGAAGGTTGATTTTCTTTTTTGGTGGTTCGGGTTCTGTAGTTTCTGCATCTGAGTGTTGCTCTTTTAAGACGTCTGAAACCATTCTCCACACCTTGTCCCTCTCAGATTTTGGAAGGCACTTCAGATTCTTAAACCTTGGGTCGAGCGCTGTAGCTATTTTTAGAAATCTCACATCAGTACCTTCTTCACGTTTTGTCAAATCTGCTGTGAAAGTGTTCTTAAAACAAACGTACTGGGTCATCATCCAAGACTGCTGTTACATGAAATATATGCAGAATGCGGGTAAAAAAGAGCAGGAGACATACAATTCTCCCCCCAAGGAGTACAGTCACAAATTTAATTGATGCATTATTTTTTTAACAAGCATCATCAGCATGGAAGCGTGTCCTCTGGAATTGTGGCCGAAGCATGAAGGGGCATATGAATGTTTAGCATAGCTGGCATGTAAATACCTTGCAACGCCAGCTACACAAGTGCCATGTGAACGCCTGTTCTCACTTTCAGGTGACACTGTAAATAAGAAGCAGGCAGCTGTATCTCCCGTCAATGTAAACAAATTTGTTTGTCTTAGCAATTGGCAGAATAAGAAATAGGACTGAGTGGACTTGTAGGCACTAAAGTTTTACATTGTTTTGTTTTTGAGTGCAGTTATGTAACCAAAAAAAAAATCTGCATTTGTAAGTTACACTTTCACGATAAAGAGATTGCACTTCAGTACTTGTATGAGGTGAATTGAAAAATACTATTTCTTTTGTTTACCATTTTTACCATACATATATTTGTAGTCAAAAATAATAATATAAAGTGAGCACTGTGCACTTTGTATTCTGTGCTGTAATTGAAATCAATATTGAAAATGTAGAAAAACATCCAAAAATATGTAATAAATTTCAATTGGTATTCTATTGTTATAGGTGCGATTAATCGCAATTCATTTTTTTTAGTTAATCGCATAAGTTAACTGTGATTAATTGACAGCCCTATTTAAAACATTTTCGGTAGACCTAAGGCCCAATTCACATTCTACAGCCCAGCCGTAAAAGTTGAGGAGGCATCTAAAGCATCTAATTCTAAACAGATCAGAGAGAGCATTTCTGTGGCCTTATGTCTCCATCAAACCTCAGAGCCCATGCCTTTACAAAGTCAAGTTTACTACAAGTTCAAGCTTTGTTTCCTGGGGAAACGAGATTGGTGGTGTTGGTCTGTGTAATGTGAGTGAAGGAGAACCCCCTATATATTTAAAACAATGCAGATGATAATATGCAATTTATGTTCTATAGTAATTGTAATTAACATATAATTAGTATACAGTATATCTATATGGACCAAATTCTTGTCTCACTTCTGGCAGTGCAAAACAGCCCTAAAACTAGATTCACCTACTCCTTGAGGAGTCACACACACCTGGGGGAATTCCCCAGCAGCGTAGAACTAACATACTGGCTCCGATACTGCCATCCACGCTGACCCTCCACATAGGAAGCATGACAAAGAGAAAGGGGAAGAAACCAGGGTGTATTCATCCTGCTGGCACCCCTGATGGCTGGAATAGCCTCTTGGGGCTCAGTGTAGCTAGTGCAAGATAGAGCTGCCCTCAGGATGGTGTAACTCATGCCATGGATCCAGTGCAGCTCGGGACCAGAGCTGTGGTCCCCAAAACCACTTTTGCCCCCACTCTGGTCTTGTGCTGTGTGCAGCTCCATCAGGCTGGAGGATCTGGTCCCTATATAGCTAGCTAAAATCATTCAGATAGCTGCCTGTGGTCAGTTGAATCAAACAAATCAAAACATTATTTGGAGAACATTTTTTTAACTTGCTCAAATCAATGGAAAATAAAATAAACACTGAACTATAAGAGTAATCATAACTACACAGGGCCTGTTGCTGAGACAAAACTTTTAGAAGCGGGTGAAAGTTTAGCCTGTGAGAAAGAAGCCCGATCTTCACAGAGCTATGCTGATATACAACAGCTGAGGATCTTGACCACAATTTTCAAGTACAGCTTACACTTGTGGGTTTTTTGCTTTTCTTATTTTAAATTCAAAGTATTTAAAATTGGGGGTAGATTTTTAGGGCTGATGACAGACTTTGGTCTCCAAGTCCTCTATTTAGCCACAAAGTACAGCAGAGATAGCAGCAAGGCAAGCTTCCTCATACTGCTTCACCCAAAACTCCACAGTCCTGACCTGAAGGGACCACGTTTAGACCGAAGACCGTCTTTAGACACCTTT